TATTTCTTCCTTCCAGACTCTGGTAAGTTGTGTGTGTGTGTGTTGATTTAAGCAACGATTAATTCTTCCTACCAGAGTCTAGTAAACTGTGTGTTGATTGAAGTAATGATCTTAAATTTCCGAGAGTCATAGTGTGTTTAATCCTACCATAGTCTAATAATTTGTTTATTGGTTGAGGTTAATGATCTATTTTTTTCCATATTTACACGCTTAGATGTAGTTAAAACAAATTTTAAATCTATTTATCTATATATATAGGGGTTGGACAAGACAATTGAAACATCTTGTCTTTTTTAACTCCAAGTTTAGATGTCACTAAGTGGGGGAAATGTTACCATATGGTAATTTAGCTGTACATTATATTATTCTATATCATCAGATCTATTTATACCTGAATATTATATTAGTGGGAAACATAATTCCACTTCCAACATTACATCAACAATTACTAGAAACTTTGATCAAAGACATAGGATGGTGTCTGATGCACGACATCTTGTTTCATCAGTTTCACGTGTTGTTAATGTTCTTTTGTCTGTTCGTGGTGGACAAATTTATTATTAATAAATAAAATATAGACATTTAGAGGTGTTTCCATTATTGCGTGTGTATATGGATAGATAACAGTATCAAATTCAGATAAATTCTTATAACGATGAATATATCTATTAATGTGTTATACACTCAGATTTTATATGTTATATGAAATGGTATCTTCTTTCCCAGTCTTTAAATATACTTAGTAAATAGTGTTCAGTTGTTTGTTTGTTTTAAGCAAACCCACATTTAGCTATCTGCTGTGTCCATCGCTGGGAATGGAACCTAGAATAACTTATAGATAATAGACATTTTTAGAGTACAAACTAGTCTTAACAATTCATTTTCTAATGTGTAGAGGGTGGTTCGGTGCCCCGGGTGAAAAACTTCTGGAAGCTCTATGCTAGTCCTGAAATTATCTTGGATGGTTTGACAATAGTTACATCATTCATCTTCGTTGGCTACATTCAAGCAACGTTGGAACCTCATCTAAGACAGGTAATCTCACGAAGAAGTTACTACCAATGTATTTAATCGGGAAATATGAACAGAGAAAATAATATCATAAGATAGTTCTTAACAGTGAAAAAAAATGTTAGCTAATACCTGAAATAATGCTCAGTCAGATAATAACTGAGAAAATAATATTTCTTATCAATTATGAACAGAGAAAATTATTTTATTAGTTAGTTGTTAGTTAAGAAAGTAAATTAATAGATATTGCCTATGAAAATGATGTTATAAGACTGATATTAAGACAGTTGTGAAGAGAGAAATGGCCTTCACAGTTTTTAATAACATTTTAAATACTACTTGTGCATTCAATTGCTTGCGGGTCCATAGTTTTGTTGTTTCTATGTAGTTTGTATATAAAATGAGTAATTTCACCAAACGTGATTGCCCTTCCATTTTCGATAGGATGTCATATAAACGAAACTGTCCAATTTCACAGCGAACGTAAAGCTGGTAACAGATAGAATCTTTTAAGGACGTCAAGTTGGTAGGCGCAACACGCTAAATGAGCGACTTCAGGTAGCCCTAAAACCAAACATCAACAAGGGCCAAAACAGGAGAGTGTGATGACCACGTGAAAATAAAACGTTTGATCTTCAAACACGTGACAGGTTGTGAAATGTGGGGCAGAGCACCGTCTTCCACGAAACTGTTTCATTCAAAATACTTGTTCCCCAAATCTTAGGAATATCCACCATGGACTTGTACACTGTTGTCCGAAACCCACTACCAGTGTCATAAAAACGACACAGTGACAAATATGGTTGTGAATCGGACCCATGTCGTGCCTTTCTCATCATTCAATGGCAGTTGCGCTAAAGCACGTGCGTTTGTTTCTTCTAACTCAAACTCTTTTAGTCTGAGGCTCCCTTGATGTGAATAAAAAAGTTTGAGACCCCCCAACGTATAAAAATGTCTCAAAATGTCATCCTCTCCCCCACTACTTTAGCATAGTGGTTGAAAAACAGTGCCGTAGTAAAAACAATAGCTTCTTTGTTTTGTTTGTTTAATTTCG